CCCCCCCCCCAAACTACGTTGAAACATATACTGGCTACTGAATGATGGGTCTGCCTTCTGAGTCTGTTCCAAAAGTGGTAATTACACTGTGCAATTCTTTTACATCTCATCGCATTTCTTTGTTTAAGAAAAGATATGATATTTATTTTGGCATCCCTGCTGACAAGGGAATAGGATTATGCTGGTGAAGCAAAATTTTATTCACTGTTTTGGATCCCAACAGTGTGCATATGTTTTTTGCACATGGGGAGACCAGGCAGATGAGGAACAGTTAGAATCTTTCATGAATAGTAATTTGTTTATGGTACAGAATCCAAATTTCAAGTTTGTTTGGGTATTAGTCTCTGCTTGCATGTCTGCCAGTTGCCCCACTACAAAAGAACCCCTTAAATGTAGACCTGCAGTTAAGTTAACTGACCAAGGTGAACAATTTTCCCTTTCAGCTAAAGGCTGCTAAGACTACAGCCTGCCAGCCACCATGTGGATGTGCAGTGGGAGAGAGGGACATTTAATATTGAATGTGATTCCATAATCAAGAAACACAACTGTCCTTTTTCACAACACCATTGGCTAAAAGCCATTTCTGCTTCAGTTAGACCTGTAGACCCAGTTTTCACTTCATCTGTCTTTGCACTTATCCTTACTAGTTCTCATGCTCCCTAGCAAGCTGGTGGTACCACCACAGACATCCTTGTTACCAATAGCACAAGTATTCTTGTTTCTGGCAGTCCCAATCTTCACTGTGCGAGCTAACCTGTCATCAGTACCACCTGTGGTACCTACTACGTAGGTAGGTTTGAAAATGAGAGCTGCCCCAATAGTTGCCGAAAGTTTCTTCTTTTTTTGAACCAGAAGCTAGGTGGCGTTAAACCTATGACAGACCATAAAGCCTTCCAGCTTAGGCCTCTCTCCTAGGTGAGTCTTGTCAAGTGGGTCTCCCAGAATGGAGAATTTTCTTGGATTTATAGTCCAAAAACATGAATGGCGCATCCCTAATACTTGCCGTCCACAACTTCTGCTACTCTACTATTTTAGCAATATCTATTCTAGTGGCCTTTCTATTGTTACATTTGAAATTGTTCTTTTCTTCAAGAGAAATTAATGCCGGTGGCTATATAAACATTTGAAATTAGAAGTTTGTAAATACTTTTAAATCTTGGGATAACACCTCAAAATCAGACACAGAAATGCAACTAAGAATTAAGTCAGTTCCAACTTAACGGCAATCCTTGTCAAGGATTCTTAGCTATAAAGTACTCAGAAGTGGTTTACCGTTCCTTTCTTCTGATTGTCCTTTGGTGCTGTGCCGCATGTCCAAGGCTATACAGGCTGGCTGTTCTTTTGGATGTGCTGTGGGGAATCAAATCTTAGAACCTCTACTCTGCAGCCAGGGTCTACGATTCACAGAAATGTCCAACTGTAAACTTTTGGTATGCCACAGAAGAGAGATAGGGAATGGACTGTATAGCTCCCTAAATGTTGTTGAACTGTATTTCCTATGATCCTTCGCCTTTGTCTCTACTGACTTGGGCTGATGAAGTTACAGACTAACAACATCTAGGGAGAAATATCTGATCCACAGTTTCTTATAGTAAGCAAATTGTTCATTAATAGTCATCATTATAATTGAAAGCTACAACATCAGGCCCCCAGCTCTTGTTTTTAATGTATAAGATTCAAACTGCTGACATTCCTTAATTCCAGGAAATTGGGTTTTTTAAATAGGGGGAAAAAAGAGGTTCCACAGAAGACGTCGTGTCTCCTTTGCTGTTATAATGTACTTAGACTATAACTAAACATTGGTTAATGTGGGGTTATTCTTAAATCTTGAATCAAAATGTATTTCCCAGACTGTGTGGTCTCTTCTACCAAGCTAAAACAAAAACAAGGCTTTCCTGAGAGCTAGCCTAAATGCCAGGTTTGGATCAAGTTTCTTTGGTTATTATTATTTAAAAATGGAACCTGGTTTTAAATAATACTACATTATTTTTAGCTTTCACTATGCAGAGCTGAGCCAAAATGCTTTCCATCAACTAAACAGCCCTGTTTATGTGAAGATAGGGAATGGATGTTTTGACAATTATGAGAATGGTAGTATGAACAGAAGCACAATGTGGGTCAAACTCACCAGCACTCCTCTGTTGGGTGGTGGTAGACACATCTGATGACACCCATCTGGACTCCACTGTAAGGCAAGCATTACCTTAATTCTGACTGCTTCACATCAGGCATGCAATTAAGATTGAATTGGCATGAAACCAAATTGGATTGTGGGACAGCTCTTTCTTTTCTCATGCCGGAGCCTTATCTGTCTCCTGGGTGCAGCACCCTTCAGCAGATTGTCACTCTTGTACCATGGACAGTAAGGACTCGTGTTGGCAGAGGAAAAGGAGGAAGTAGTGGTGGTTATGTGAAACTTCTGCCTCTTTTCCCGAGTGAAAACATTTTGAAAAGAGCTTGAAACTAATCATAGGTATATGACTGAAGATCTATTCTTCCCTTTATCCCTCCTCTACCTTATTACCTTGATGCTTCCTCCTATGCCAGATGTTCAGTCATCTGTGTTCAAGACAGGGATCTACCTGTTTTTCACTCAGTAGAATACCATGTACATTGCTTGTGGTATGTTCATAATCATATATTGTATGTAGAATTATATATCATATGCACATATGTGCATCCTCCTCGTTATATATACAGCATCCTGTTGCACATCTTCATAAACTGCATAGCTTTTATGTACAAATTGCCATACATTTAAAAAATCCCTGTACAGTAGTCATCTGTTAAATGTTGTGTCATATGACTCAGTATGCAATAGATAATCTTGATAGACACAAATTGCCTTACATTTAAAAAATCCCTGTAGTCATCTGTTAAATGTTGTGTCATATTACTCAGTATGCAATAGATAATCTTGATAGAGGTTGCTTAACTTATGACAATTTAAATCTAAAAGTTATACTTTTTTTGGAACTGGTTAACAGGATTTCAGCCATGGAATGAATTAGATTTACACTTGTGTAAATATCATCGATTCAATGAGTCTGTCTTTGGGGGCTAAGAATTGGATTTAATCCACAATTTTCTTTTTCATGCTGTGATTATCAATGACCCTGTTCTCTGTGTGGCCATACAGGACTCAAGAACAGTAAGCAGACTGACATTTTTGGGACTCTGGTGTGGTGTTATGTTTTCATCATTATCTTTTAGTGCTGACTCCAGAGACAAACTGTGTAGTGCACCTGAAACATTTTATAGCCAACTATTGTTTACAGTAGAGATGGAAGTTCTTACCTACAGCTTTAGGGATGTGTGTGCTCATTGTTCTTTCCTGACTGCCCTTTATTCTTTCTGATCCTTTTACAGAATTTGCACATTCTGTCATAATTTCACCTTTTTGTGGCTGAAATCCTATTGCACAACTGTGATGCAACAAGGATGGTATCATCATCTGCTGACATGCTCCGGCAGTTTCAGCACAATAAAACCCTTCCCCTCCAGTTTTGGGGATCCCTTGGGAGGCCAGTTATCCCAGGAGAGGGAATATTTAAAACTGGAAAATCACCAGACCACCAACAGTGGTATCAAAGAGCCTGTTTTAGGATTTTGAAAATGCATTTAGGGATTACATAATTTATAGGTTCACCAATAGGGACCTGAAAGAGTACAAGCTTAAACCTATAAGATTTTAAGTCACCAAAA